TCCTCCCAGTCTCCCATGTGGGTACAGGGGCCAAAGCACTTGGGCCATCCTCCACTGCCTTCCCTGGCCACAGCAGAGAGCTGGACTGGAAGAGGAACAGCTGGGACTAGAATCTGGTACCCATATGGGATGCCAGTGCCGCGGGCAGAGGATTAGCCAAGTGAGCCACGGCGCTGGCCCTAGGGCTTGATTTTTTAACAGAAAAGCAAAGGAAAAGTCATTTTATGATCAAATATGATACTAGCTATTCTTTTAAAATTATAATTTCTAATGTAGAGTAAGGGGAGAGAGAGAGAGGGAGAGAAAGGGGAAGAGAGGGAGAGAAAGAGAGAGAGAGGAGAGGGAGAAGGAGAGAGAGAGAGAGATTTATTTCATTCAGGGTGTGCTCATCAAAAGACTTACGTATGACAACCTGGGCTGGACCAGGAAGTGGCGTCATTGGGACTTGATCCAGACTTGTCATATGGAATATGGGCATTGCAAGCAGCAACTTAACCTGCTGTGCCACAACGCTTGCCCTTATACCAGCCGTTCTTACAGAAAATTTGCCTGAACACAATTTATAACCAGTTTAATTGGATAGGTCTAGAGTCCCTTGACCCTAGAATCCCTTGAATCAGTGTGTGCAGAAAGCATTATCAGGGAAGGAGGAGAAAACTAAGCAATTCTATTTTTAAGTCCTAAGCACACTTCCTATCCTTTTGGGGCGTGTGCCTTACATGTTTGGCATGCTTCTAGAAGGAATAGTCTTCTCCCCCAGGTGGATACTCAAGCCAGATGACGTCAATCTACTAAATAGGTTTGAACTGGAAATACTCGAGTCAGAAGCTTGAAATGGGAAAGCATCATCTAGCATCCTAAATATCTACCATTCTTAAATTGAGTAATTCTTTGTAAGACTGAATGAAATTACAGTATTACTTTGTAGCTCTGGTTACAGTTCTATTAATTTCTTTAAAACTCTTGTTGTAGTTATCAATATATCTTGGTCTTTTACCCAGTTGCCTTCAAAGCTTACAGAAGGATAAACAGCCATCTATGTATTACTTCTATAGTAAATCCAGTATATATCAAGAATAAAAAGACTATCTGAATAAGTAATGAGTTGATTTGATGGATGGAGAATAAAATTGTGAATATAAAGGAAACACTTTAATTCTGCCTTTTTTCTTCTAGAATTGTGTTATTATATTTAGCTTTAAAGCAAACCTTATCCTTGAAAAGCCCAAATAGAAACTTCTGCTTGCACTTTAGGTGGTTGCTCATTCATTCACACTTGTGCCTCACCTGTTTCCTGACTGGTCAGCCTACCTATTTACCAAGTTTAATTAAAAACTTCCATTTTTAAGGATCCTGGAATAATTAAAGCTGCTTGGCCCGAGGTCCTCAGGATCTGATACTGTGTGATCACTGCCAGAAGGCCACTGAACACTTGAAGAACTAGAACTCTGTGCTTCATCTCACATCCAAGCTCAAGACAGGCCAAACCAGGTGGACCACACAGTCTAGGTTGTCCTATTGCGGATGAAGCCCCTGTGCAAAAAAGGCCAAAAAGAAGTGGGAATCTCCCTTTGATGCTAGGATACTCTGCAAAGTAATGTGAATAAAGTAGATTTGAGTCATCAGGTTAGGCCTGAGTGCCGAGTACGTTAAACAAATACATATCATAGAGTTGATCATTTTCTTTTTCTTTTTTTTTAAATTTTTTTTAATTATTTTTTGACAGGCAGAGTTAGACAGTGAGAGACAGAGAGACAGAAAGAAAGGTCTTCCTTCCATTGGTTCATTCCCCAAATGGCTACTACGGCTGGCGCTGCGCCAGTCCGAAGCGGGGAGCCACTTCCTGCTTCCTCCTGGTCTCCCATGGGGTGCAGGGCCCAAGCACTTGGGCCATCCTCCACCGCACTCCCGGGCCACAGCAGAGATCTGGCCTGGAAGAGGAGCAACCGGGACAAAATCCGGTGCCCCGACCAGGACTAGAACCCGGTGTGCCGGCGCCGCAAGGCAGAGGATTAGCCTAGTGAGCCGCGGCACTGGCCTGGAGTTGATCATTTTCAACAAAGAAAGAGCAGCAGAGAGTCAAGTTAAGTATCTAAAGGATTCATTTACAAACTCAGTTAATAAAATTTTCATTCCTAATTACTCAGTTTTGCTATGGAAGTTTACCTATTTGCTGTGTAATTATATAATTCTTAATTTTCTGCTTCAGGTTGTTGAGAGGATTAAATGAAATAGTGTATTTAAAGACTTGTGCTTCTTTATGTGCTTACCTCTGGCCCAATCCATCCCATTGACCCACTATCAGGTGGTCAGGTCTCCTGCAGGAAAAACTTCCATCACATCATTATCCAATTTTGCACCATTTTTCTCAATGTGAATTTTACCACAATTTATTTGATCACAGGACGGTTACACAGACACAATTTATTTATTTATTTATTTATTTATTTATTTTTTGACAGGTAGTACACAGACACAATTACAGGCCAGGTCTATATCTGAAAACTAAGGCTAAGGAGAGAAATTCCTAAGCATGACTGAGTTAAAACGACTTGGACAGAACAGAGCAGACAAAGATTGTGTGGACACATTGTGTGCTCGTTTGATCCTCAAGAGAATTGCTCCAAGACTAAGTGACCAATTCAAAGATGCTAAGATTTGACAAGGGTCAGACACAAACTCCATGTCATGCAAAACTGTTAAGTGGTGTGAACAAGACACTAGCTCAGTTTTTCTTGCCATAAAGCCTAGATTCTCCCCAGTGCACTGTGAATCCTTCAGATGCAATGCCAATCACACGACTGCCATTCAAACTGAAATACATGCCAAGGGCATAGCACAGATTTAAACTTGATAAGATGCACACCATGGCAGGAGGAAGATATATACATGGCTGAATTGGGCTCACCAGCCAAAGACTCCATCAGTCCTGATTTTTCACACTGACCTTTCAATTAGATGATTTTCTTTTCTGTTTATAAAGAAAACATACTTCAATGAATTGAAAGCTGAAACTTCCATGGAAATGTGTGACAGCTTTAGCTAATTGTATGTTGTGCTGTCTTGTGGGATCCTGGGTTGATCCTTTGTTCCTCTTTGGGGAAGGCTCAAAGAATCCTGTGCGACTGTAGGTGTACACAGTGGGAACCCAATAAAGGAGGAAGAGAAATAAGGTGGAAAAAGGAATTTTATGCAGCTATCCCATATTTGGATATCAACAGAGAATTTGTTGGTGTGAGTCGGAAGAGTGGGTTTAATTTTCTATAATACTTCCTGTTTGCCCTTGATCAAGTCCCTCATCTCTCTTAATATTGGTTTCATCATCAGTAAAATAAAACCAGTCTGGATCTCCCATCGTTAAAACATAAAAAAAGCACTGTAGAAACATGAGGGTTGTTAGCAGCTAGTCTGTTCCATTTCTGTTGCCAGGCAAGTCCTTGGCCAATTGCCCCGACCGCAACATCCTCATGACGGGCATGGTGCATGGTAGAAACCGGAAACAGGCCACTTTCACATTATTTTAAAATTTGTTATGAAATTTTGCCAAAACTTTATAAATACCAGCTAAGGCAATGGGGTGTTGTACCACATTCTTTCCACCTCATGAACCATTGTTTTTTGTTCTGAACTCCTAAGTTAGAATGCGCAGTTGCCTAGCTGGGTCAGCTTGTGAAATGCCTGGGATGTAATGCTTGATTCTAGCCAATTATCTTTAGTTCCTCTCTTTTATTAGTGTTAAATTTGAATTACAAGGGGAAGGGTGGGAGTGGAGCAAGGACCACAGGCTAAATGTTCAAGGCAGGGATTTCATTTATATTATTTTATGATCTCTCCTTGTAAGTACCACTGGTTTTAGTCCTTTGTTGATGTTTGGACTACCCCAAACCCACCCTCTTCCCCTCTTTTGCTTTAAGTTTGTTTCCTAAAATAAAAGATGAACTTTCCTGTTGTGAAGTTTGAAAGAAAAAAAAAAAACAATCTCACAACAATCTTAAGCTTGTAGTTCACAAAATAAACTGCAGATAAAACCCCTGAAGGTCTTGGCAGTGCGTGTTCCTCACTAAAATGGAACTCTGTGCACTCATGGGTCTGGAACAAGTTAGGAAGGAGGGGAAAATCAACAGCTCTGGGGTGAAACTGGGGTTGGTGCTGCCTCATCATTTTTTAACCAAAAATAAAACAAGCAAATTTTGTTTAACTGCAGGTCAAAATAAAAAAAAAAATTAAAAAGGCCCTCATCTGTTCACTGTAATTACTAACAGAGCACACTCTTACCAGCTGCAGGGTTCATGGATAAATGGAAAGAACAATCATTTTCTCCTTCTGGGGTTAAACCTCCAAACTTTAAGTCAGCTCTTCTCTAGTATGCTTTTAATCCACCATGGGAAGCCCAGTCAGAACACTTTTAGAGTATGGCTCTATTCTTTGTTTACAGAACAACATAACTGTACGTGTTCAAGAAGAACACGTGTATTTCTTCAGTGTCCTCAATCAACACCCTCTCCCTTGTCCCTAATGGTGACTATAGGATTTTCAGTTGTTCGCTCAGCAAGAGATAGGTGAAGTTGGCTATACGTTGCTTGTAAAATGTTGCCAATTCCTTTCTAAATGTTCTTGTTTTGGAACAACCAAGGAAAGATATATTTTTTTCTAGTGCATTTCCATTCATGTTCAATCCAAGAGTATATAAAGGAAAATTTGACCCACATGTTCTTGACTCATTTATGTTTAACTTATTGAACTTTTTTATTTAAAGAGTTTTGGTGTCCAAAATACCCAATGATGTTTTTTCAGGAAACCACCTTTGAACTGTCACTTTATTTTCATAAAGACGTCAAATACGGGCTGAAAGGAAATGGAATTAGAGCTTCCCAGTCTCCCTTTTGGTTTGAGACGGAAGTTATCAGGGTCACGTGGAGGTCTGAAGCAGAAGTAGGAAAGTAATGCGTCTTCACCTCCAGCGAGGCTGTGTTTAATGGGTTATTCCTCCTTGTTGGCAGGCTCTAACGGAGAAACATAGATTAACTGCATGGAGGAAGTATTAATTTCATAGTAATGTGAATGGGGGGCTGCAATCACCAGTAACAGAAGCTGTCAAAACGCTTGCAAGGATGTTCTGGATCTGATTAACCTCCTCACTATCTTCATACTTGACCCAGAAAGAAGGAATACATGTCCAGGAGGAACGACAGAGGTGAGTTAAGTACAAGTGACTATGGGAAATGGACAGAGGATCCACACCTGGGCACACTACAGCCACATGTCTTTGAACTTGGAGAACCACTGGGGAGCACACCTGTAGGTTCTGAGCAAGTCTATCTTCTTGACGGGAGGGAAATGGCTATTGCTAACTCTCTACTTTGGGCATTATCATTGCAACAAATCTGGAAATTGTATAAATTGGAACATGTTTAAAATTCATGTGTGAAATGTAGTGGCATTTATGTACAAACATATGTATGGATTAGATCTACACAGGCCAAGTGGAAGAATCCTGACCAATAACCCCAGTCTTGGACCTAGAGTAAGCACAATCACTCAGTAGCCTTCCCTTTTGCCTTGCTACCTGTAAATTGCTTATAATGAGCTGTGCCTTTAGCTGTGTTTTACAATGCTTGAGAACTGGATTTAGTACAAGGGTTCAGAGCATGGTCTTGCACTAGAACTCATGATTTGAGCCATTATTTTCCCTCTCCCGTAAAGTGGACATAGATACATAACATATAATTGCAACTGTTCAAGGATTAAGTGAGTTAAAAGAGCTAAATTCACTATCTGACACCAGTAAGGACTCAATCAAGATGACAATCACATTTACTCAATTCCAGGATTTTCTCATATTTTAACATTTTTTTAAAAATCAAAGGGTGTCTCACAACAGAAGGTGTCTTATAATCACTGTTTTCCAGGTGGCAGAGGTGCTGTAATTGCCACTGCCTGCATGTGTGTATACATCAAAAACTCCAGCAACAAAACTTACCAGAATGGCTGTTAATGACTTGGAAAAAATTCCAGAGATTATAGTGCACACTCTTTTCATCATTAGCAACCAAATAGGTGTGAGGTGAAGATTGGGGGATGGCAAATCAGGCAAGTTTAGCAGAATTCCTGAAGTGGCAGTCAAGATCAGGACAGCTCTTTAGAATTGCAGAGCTGGCCTAAGGGTTCAGCACCCACGACTTTCAGTTATGATCAGAAAATATTTCATCATGAACTTTCCATGGCATAGAGGACAATACTGAAAATGAAAACTCAGTCATTTAAAACAATGATTTGGAGTTAAGTAGTTGTTCAGTGGAGTTATGCTCTGTAAGAAAAGTATTAGGCATTCCTTAACTCATTTATTTTGCACATATGTTTGTACCTACATATACAAATACAAGAATAATAGATGATAAAAATTGTTATAGCTAGGTTTAAAAGTGTCATTTCAATCAGCATCAAATAGACATTTCTAAATAGTAGGAAACAGCCACAGTTTTACTGGTAGTTGTTTTAGATGCTTTATTTTCTGTCGAATGATAAACTATTACAGGTTTGATTTATAGTGATTGTGTCTTAATGAAATGTGGAATGAGTTTGATGAGGACATGAGTAGAATGAATTCTATGGCACTCATTGATTGAATATTTGTTCTCTAGGGTGGAAATATTGCCTGGACCTCACATGGGGTAACTCCTAATTGTCACTCCACTTATATCCTGTCATTACTCACAATTCCTTCCTTGCTCCATCCCCACAGCACATGATGACACTTGTATATGATTGTTGACCTCTCTTCCTCCATGTTGCTTACAACAGTAGATGTTGCAGTGCCTGCTAATATGACAACTTCTCTTCTCCTCCAAGGTCATGTGAGAACATTTCCCTCAAGACACCCATGGCTGTGCCATTAGCTTTGGTCAAAGAAGTGTAAGAAGATCCAGTGTTCTTTTCTCTATTCTCTCATCACTGATGTGAAAACCGAGTTGAGATAGGGTTTTGACACATATGGAAATTTCGTGGAATTATCAGCTACCAAGGAGAGGATAGCTGCCTTCAGGATGGCCTTGAGTTCCCACAAATTGTTCCTCTTCTTTTGTGTCTTGGGGATACTTGGCAGTACGGTATAATCTAGCCTACATTGACCTAGTCCATTCAAAGTTCAGTTCTTGAGAATCTCTTACTCTCTTTATGCCTCAGCTTCTTCATCTCTCAACTGGGGATACTATCTCATGTGACTAAGAGGAAAATACATGTAAGAGCTTGGAATAGTACTTTGATCTATAGTGAGCTTTCAATAAATAGTCACTCTTAGGATTTCTCAAGAATTCTAGGCCAGCGCCGCGACTCAATAGGCTAATCCTCCGCCTGCGGCACTGGCACACCGGGTTCTAATCCTGGTTGGGGCGCCAGATTCTGTCTCCAGTGCTCCTCTTCCAGTCCTGCTCTCTGTTGTGGCCTGGGAGTGCAGTGTAGGATGGCCCAGGTGCTTGGGGCCTGCACCCGCATGGGATACCAGGGGGAAGCACCTGGCTTCGGATCAGCACGGTGTGTCGGCCGCAACGGCCATTGGAGGGTGAACCAACAGAAAAGGAAGACCTTTCTCTCTGTCTCTCTCTCACTTGTCCACTCTGCCTGTCAAAAAAAAAAAAAAAAAAAAAAAAGAATTCTAGCATTGGCTAGGCCATATTCCCTGCTTTAGAGACTCTTAGCTCCTTTTATCTTTCCATAGCACCTGTATCAGTTAGAAATTCATGTTTTTTATATGATGATTTGATGAATGTATAGTTCCCTGACTTGATTGCAAATTCCATGAAGGCAGGCACTATGCCAGCGGCATGTCTGTAGATAGACAAGCTCACTATTTGTTGAGAGAATGACTCTGAATATTCAAACACAGTTCTCAGTTAGCAGAAGGTTTTGAATCTGAGTTATCCAGCAGATGGATCTGTTTTACCTTTCCATTATAGACACATCATATAGATATTTGAAAGGATGTGGCCCTAGAAGCATGTGCACTCATCAAAATGGCATTTATAAGGGCCAAAGCAAAGGAAGAAAGAATTAAGGGCCAGAATTGGGAATAAGATTCTTTGTATGCATTAAAAAATTTATCTTCCAGCCTCTGATTGTTCTGAGGATAAAGCTTCCTTTTTTGCCTTTTCGTTCCGTAATTCTACAACTTTCCTGGTGCAAGGAAAAGCTAATATGAAGTCCCTGTTTGTAGCATCTCAAGCAGTGACATTCTGTAAATTTGTTGACAGAACGACTTCAAAGTGAGTGAGAAGCAAAGCAACAAGAGAGGCCCTCTTGGGTTCTCCTATGTTTTCTGCTGCTGTGTTTTTGCTCTTGCCTGAACCTTGGCCACGAATAGCCTTCCTGTGTCCTTTAAACAGTAATATCTTAAACGTTTATAGTGCCTTATAGCTAAGCATCTCTAGACATTTTACAATAACATTAAAAGGAAAGCCAGTTCTTTTCCCAGAATCGCCACAGGGGCCACACTAAAAGCCAGCAGTTGCTACTTTATCCTGGAAAGGCGAGAGGCTGGTGGGCTGATGGAGTAGAGGATGACCCCCATGTCTCAGCATTCTTGGCTGGAATTCACCTTTTCCTGCATGACAGTGAGGGCAGGAGGGGAATGAGTGTTCACAGCAAAGGGAGACTTGAGATTCTTCATGGATAAGTGTGAAACACGGGGAGGTATAAAACCAGAGAATTTAATTCTCACAGTCCACGGTCACTTTCTTTTTGAAAAAAAAAAAAAAAACATTAATGGTGCAATTCTATAGGATTTGTAAGTGCAGTCAAATATTTACATGATAGAAAACTAATTTTCTTATTTAAGCAATCTCACACTTTGAGCTTAGAAATATGTAAAAATATTTCTGCCATGGAACTCTATCGTTACTTTAAATAAATGATTGAATTTCTGTATAAAATATAGATGATATACATTACATGCTTTTATATTTCATGACAAGCACACCCACATACATGCACACATATCTTTCTTGGCTGTTCACAATATTGCTAATAAATGTTAGGATTCATTAGGTTATATAAACCAGTTTTTTCTTGTTTTACTTTTTCATTTTTCAATTACAATGATCTAAGGATAAAGCAGGAGATTCCAAGCCAGAGCTACATTAACAAAGTGAAGAGAGAATGAAGGCAATTAGCTAAGTAATTAACGGGACTGGCCAAACCTTTTTTGGCTGAGATGTCTAAACAAGTTAAGGAAAATGTGGGCTGGGTAGAGGCAGAAATACTTACATTTTTGGAATAAAAGCCACATTTGGCCAATTCACTTTCATCATCTAAGCAAAATCATAAATTTTGATTTTTTCCTGTTCCCCACAGCAGAGGTTTTTGGCCACTAGTAACTGATCACTTGGGAAAGCCCTCCTCTGGGCAGCTGTCCAGGAGAGCAGGAGAGCTCTCTGCTTCTGCAGATCCCACCAGCCCGTCCCTGAAAGGTACGCCATTTAAAGAGGAAGGCTCACCTGTCTGGGGGCTGCAGCCAATCCTACACGGGGGTGTGTGTTAGTGCTGTCATGACACCACGCCCTGGGAAACCATCCAGTGGGATTTCTTCAATCACTTTTATGAACCCTCTTCCACCAAGGAAATTTCTGCACAAACCCAGATGCCTGTCAGCTGCTGCTCTCCTCCCGGCTAACACCACCCTGGAGAGGGCAGGCCCAGGGCACAACTGTTTTCCTTGCTCCTTTTTTTAGGGCTCAGCCCCAGTTTAGCGGTAGCTGCCTTTAAAAACGACAAATGTGTTCTAATTTTAGTGTATCACAGCCATAATTGTTTTTATTTCAGTGGTGAGGAAAAGTGAAGGAAAAACAGCTTGGGACTTAATAACCACCTTAGCCTGCAGCCTTCGACTTTATTCATGAGATTTTTTATCTTCCTTCTCCCTCTCCCTGCACTCTTAGCATCTTCTTTAAGGCACTGCTTTAAATTACCTTTGCAAAGGTTATATGTTTATTTACAAAGAGCTGGCTATCAATGGTCTTTCCAAGGATAGCTGCTGGCAATAAACATCTCAGCTCTCTTACCCACCAAGGCCTACTGAGTAAAGTGAGGTTTAGTACTTGGACATAGCACGCTTTATGACTTCATTAACCATCCAACCTGTGTTGTGTGCAAATTTCACGAAAGCACGCTGCATATCGATTCCCT